TTTACACTAATTTTTCGGTTGACTTTTCACTCACAAAAACTTTCATAACTTCTCGCCCAAAACCCGGCAGCAGATAGCGAAGGCAGATTTGGAATCAGCATTTAAAGCTCTATAAGATGGTGTACATCTCATTTCATAAGGCCACTTCGACCAACCTTCCTTCCCTTGTTAGATTTACTTCCTCCTCTTTACTTGTTTTATTTCCTTATCGCTTTCTTTTGAAATTTGCTAAATAGACAAGCTCGAAGTGGCTGAAAGCATTCGGAAAGGAGCGCCTGTCCCCTTAGCTGATAATTTAGGAACACCTCCTCATTCATAGGCGAAGTTGAATCTGTAGTTGTGATTCTTCTCTAAACATCGTTTCATACTCGGTTCTTTTTTTATTCATCTTCATGCTGTAATGCAAGGATTGTGTCTTTCATTTCAATACGAAAATTTCTCTGAACTGAATCGGTGTAGCATCACTAGCTTCAAATGAGCTTTGTACTGTGACATCCTGACTCATTTATTATATCGTAGTTCATGGCCTTGTGCAAAATGTTCAAAAATCTTTAGGAGCTCATGTGGAAGGTCCATTTATATCACCAGAAAAGAAAGGCTGTCATCCACAAAACCATATAAGGACATTTGGCAATGATCCGGTGAAATCGCTTGAGGAGGTGTGTGCGATTTGGTTTGAAGAATTTTATTTTCGTCTCTAGACAAGTTCGTTATGCCTTTAAGGTTTATGGAAGTCTGGAGAACATTGCAACGGTGACGATAGCACCAGAATTGGAAGGAAGCGAAGATGCTATTAGGTACAGCATTCGACCAATAAGTGCTCAGTTATGCACTACATTGCAGATTTTTAGCTGGCAGTGGGAAACTCGTGTCGCTGGGCCATTCCGCAGCAGGGCTTGTAGCTGGCGAAAGAGGGTTTGCTGCCGGCGCTAAGACTATAACTCACTTATTCAATGCAATGAAATCGGTTAGTTGTTACATAGATATTTACCTCTTTTTGGAGTTTTAGTTTTTTTTTATAATGATAGTCTGTCTAGTATCATCATCGAGACCCGTGTCTGATTGGCCTGCTTACATCGAAGATGCTGGGAAATCGCACGGTGTACTACGGAATCATCTCTGATGGTATTCATACACATGACTCAGCACTAAGACTAGCTCACCGGTAGGTTGATCAAATGTGGATTTATTGCATTTTTAAGCACATGATTTGACCGAGCATCCCCCTTCTCTACTTCTTCTTCTTACAAAGAAATGATAAATACGTCACAGGACAAATCCGGAAGGATTGATTGTGATAACGGACGCTATAGCTGCCTTGGGAATGGGTGATGGTGTCCACAGATTGGGCGATTGTGTTATAAATGTTAATGGTTTGCATGCAATCTTGGAAGGAACGAACACAACTGCAGGAAGGTATTTATTTGGTGATACTTTTTATCTAATAGATATTCCCTGAGTTTCAAAATAATAACGGTCTATTGTTTACCTCGTGCTCTTGATGTTGTCCAAGTTTTTTAATTTGATTTAGTGTCGCCTCAATGCCATACTGTGTAGGACATCTGGCAAAAGCAGCAAGATGCCCGCTGGAAGAAGCTTTGATGTGCGCCACAGATAAACCAGGTGCGATATATTTGTCATGATTTGGTTTGATTTTTTTTTCTTTATAGCAACTTTGATGGGTATTCGAGATCGTAAAGGTGCCTTAAGAGTGGGAATGGATGCAGATTTGGTGCTGATCACTGAAGATGTTGATGTGCTAGCGACTTACGTGCATGGAA